GATTAGGATGTAATCTCTGACGTGACTAAACACAGGTTTCTTCTTTCCACTTTACCTCAAATTTAATATTTACTATCAAACACTAAAAAAAAAAAAGAAACACTTACTTTACTCTCTTTTTATCATTACTTTGAAGTAAATTTCAAATGTCAGTGTACATCATCTTTATCCAAGTTGACTGTGCTTTCTCATTCCTTCATTGGGTATTCATAAGAATCAAATTTAAGGTATATTGATCCGCGCTTCAAGTATTTGATATATTTTTAATGTATAATACATATACACTATTATTTAATTACATAGTGTCACTTTATAAGTATACAAAAGTAAAAATAATAGGAATAATAGTAATAATATGACAAAATGAAAATTACAAAATAAGTAGAGAAAATGAGTATAATAAAAAGAACAATATCTTATTCGTCTTTTTTTTTTTGTTATATTGCACAATAAAAAGTTACTCAACTTGGAAAAGAATACAAATTCAGTAATAGTAATAGGCAATAAATTATAAATTGTGACATACTATATATATATATATATATTTATATTTCTGAAATTCCTAGAATTAGTCAATCAAAGTCACTGGATTTACAAGAGATAATAATAAATTATGCTTAGCATTCTTCACTGTCCTCCACTTGGGATGGGATGACTCGGTGAAAACAACCCCTCTTCGCCATCTCCTTAATCAACTATATAATCATAACGTAAAAAAAAAAAAAAACTTAAAAATTGCCCACTAATTCACTCAAGTAAATAATAATAATAATAAATTTATATACTAACAAACTCAATTTCAAAATATAGTTGTTAGCCCTTCCAACTCGGGTAATTCAGCCGAGTCGACCCAGACGTGTTTGTAACTTTTTTGCTGGCTTGCTTTAGCCTTTTTAGTAGACCGATTTATCGGCGCCGTGAAGCAACGGTCGAGATTCGCTGAAAAACCCGAGTTTATTCTTCATGCCAACGTGGCAGCATCTCTGAAGATCTTCGAAAGTAGAGAAGCGGCCAGAGTTTGATGAGCCAGATCGGGAGACGACTCGGAGTATCTCTTCGAAGAACGACTCGTCACATGGGATGGTTAACGGTCCTACGTTGTTGAAACCGTACTCTTCTTCGGTTTGTACGAGGAGTTTTTTGAAGATTGGGTGGTTAAGGTACGTAGCGCGTACGATATATCTCCTGAGACTGGTGCCCACGCAGACAGCCACGTGTCCAGCAGGAACGTCAGACGGTGCGCGTCCGTTATTGTTGTTGCTGCTGCTGCTGCTGGCCGTTATGCGGGCCTTCCTTCGCCACTGCTTGAGCATTAGTCGGATTCGGACAATGTGACGGATTTTCTGGCACTTTCCTATCCCATGTGACATTTTTTTTTGCAAGAAAGAGACAGAAAAAGCAATCGGAAAAGAGAATATTTCCGAGAAAGTGAGAGAAAAAGTGAAAGGAGTGTTCGAGCGACTTGGTGGTGGCGTTAGAAGTCCTTTTTTCAATTTCGGAGTTGAATTATGGCAGAGGGAGGTATTATAAGGGTAAGGGTTAAAGAATTGCCCTTGGAATCGCAGATAATTACGAGATTGTGTCTTTTGTTTCTGTTGGTCTGATGGCCATGTGATCTATGGTAAGGTGGTATGACTTTTAGTTAGCTTTAATCAATTCTTTAATTAATTTATCAATATAATTTCAATTTTCAAGTTTAGTTAGCTTCTTACTTTCTTGACAATTGTGCAATTTTTATATATAATAATAATGAAATTTATAAAATTAGATTAAAACATGGGAATGATAAACCAAAATATTGTGTTTTGACTTTGGACCATGTAATGCAAGCTTGGACAATGACATTTGCCCATATAACACTTAGCATTATTGAGTAACATGAAGGTAGAAAGTATTATATATATATAATACTAATAATGATTTTCTCCCAAGCATAGGAAAAAAAAAATTCACACTTGCTTAGTTAGTGTAAAGTAAATGTCTTAAGCACATGGTTGGAAGTTGTATTTTTGGGGCTTATTTTCCTTAAAAGTGAGAGTTTCACCTCTTTCCCTTTTTAAATTTTAGTCATAGAATCCATTATGTGATTAGGCACAGCACCCATCATCTAAATGTGCAGTAAACAACTATTAGGTATCAAGCCATTGGTTTCAATCCATTGTTTAATTTGGGTGTTTTTTCCACACACACACACACACACATATATATATATATATATATATATAGTAGTCTTTGGGTGATATATTCGCATTGATATGTTGAAGCACAAAAGAAAATGGATTCAACAAATATACGAAAAAAAGGGGAATGGAAATATATATAATTTGTGTGGTGACTGTCTGATTATTGTTCACCTTTTGTTTATAATGATATGATTTGATAAGATTCTTTTTGTCCTTGAAATGCAAAACCCTGTATCACTCTCAAAATCCTATAAAACTCTCCTTGACTGACCTTGACCTCCCTTGCCTCCACAACCTCCTCCATATTCATAACAATTATATAACCCATTTCAGTTCCAAACAAGACACAACATGCAGGTTCATGCATGCATACTAATTATTTTCATTACATATACAATTAAATCATGTTACAGTATTTTTTTAATATAAATTATTGTTTTTTCCTCAATTCAAGATGGTATTTATGAATCATATGGGCAGCAAAATACTGCTCATGCCTCTCAATTTTTATCATTGTTTCAGTTCAGTGCTCAACTAACAAAAAATTTAAAGATGAAAAGGACAGAAACAATATATAACATGCATAGTTTGCTGTGTCAGTGTTGTTTTCTACTCCCATGATCTCTTGTCTCCTCTAGTATCTTTCTTTGACACTGTAATCATGATTAAAATAACAAATTATGCAAGATTTAGGGAATATATGCTGGGGCCTGTTTATTTGAAACCGATTGGATGGGTTATTTTTGGATCTAAAGTATACTTTTAGGGACATTTACTCAAGTGATGTTTGCTGTAGCCATGGCAACTCAGAATTTTATATTAAACCTAAACCTTGAATAACCACTAACCAGTTCAATCAGCCTGCACTAAAGAACAGTACAGATACCTGACAGGAAGATTATGAGCTGAAGGAAAGGCCAGTGTTGAGATTCTGTTGTACTTCTCATCGAACTTAGGGGAGTAGAGATGAAGACTTGGAGGAGTGGCATCTAATTTTGAGTTGTAAGATTGGTTTTACACAAAAAACTAATTCCACTTTCCATATTAAAAATAAGCAACTTCGAAGCAAGTATAAAGCAATCAATTAATTAAAAGGTAAAGCTCTATGCCTTGGAATAAAGAGAAAGACTTGGTCAAAAAGGACTTTGTTCAATTCCAATCATTTGATAAAACCATGCTTAGCATTAATTAGGAGTGCAAAATGACCATAAATTACAATGGATGAAACTTTAATCTACCATGGGTTAATGAGTTTCCACGAGAACATTGCACGCTTAATTAACAGACAGAATGATTAACACAGCCTTGCTTTGTATGGTTAAGCATGGATAAGAAGAAGCAGATTTTTTTTCTTTGAAATTGATCATCTGAAATGATTGTTAACAACTTAATTATCCACCCATTTCTTTGGGAAGAATACTGTTGCTTAAAGTAACCAGCATTTAATTTATCTGGCTAAAGTTGTTTTTCTGAAGTTTATATAGAGCTTTCATTATTAGCTGAGTCGTGGATTCTCCTCTACCGTTCTTCTATCTGTCACCTTCTTTATGCTCTCTTAAAAGTACTGAGTTGGCATTGCTTTGTAGAGAATAGTTCCATATAAATGATCGTACCAAATGCATAAATTCGTAAGCCATATTCTTTTATTTCCAGACCCCATCATCATTCAACAAAAGTTAAGCAACTTACCAGGACTCTGGATCTTTAATTATGGAGTAGTATTCTTTTTTCTTGTTTAATGTAACAAGATGATTTATTACTGTTTATTTATTCATAATCTGACAGAAGGAAACATAAGAGGTTGCCGGTGCTACCTGTCATCACGAGAAATAAAGTCTGCAGTCTAGTGATTAAGTTAGCCAGAAAGTAATATTTATTTTCTTTGAAAGTTCCCGTTCTTGTTGGCTTGCTCTGATCTCCAGCACAATCTCACCTGAAATAGCTTTCATGGATTATATGAAAAATTCATTTGTAGTAAAAACGCTTGCTAGGAGTCAGAGGCACGGGCATTTTTAATGTTTTGTATACAACTAAAAAATGCTCAATGTAGTCGGTTGTGAAAGGAAATCTCATAGCTTGCTCTCAGGAAGGCCCGGTCCCGCAAGTCTCAAGTTCAAGACACTTTGTGACCTTAGGTGTAGCCATGTCAGAGGTTCATAGCCCGTGGCCCGCGCCCACATGCAACGTTGAACTAATGTAGCAAACATCTCTTTGGACCAGGATTTGATGGGTTGATATTTGATAATGGATCAACACACTTCACAGTCCAAACTCTGACAACTATTTTGGTATACAGTGCTTGTATTAAGGTCTACGTAGTGAAAAAAATTCTGGTTAAGCAAGTCATCTTCCCCCCACCGTCCTTCATCCCATCATCAGGCAAGCAATCTCAACTTAAATGACAACTTTTCGAAGTCTGCAGCCTTCCAAGATGGTGGTGGGATAACAGTGATAAATGGTTTTTTTCATCCCTATGAACAGCATACGGCAATCAGCCAATCTGATGCCTAAATTTTCCAATGAAGGAGAGGATGGATATCAAGTTCTGAATAAATCTTCAAAGCTTTTTATCACCAGGTAATGCAACATGTTACATGTCATAACAAAAAGGATTGACAATGTTCAATCAAAGAGAAGTTGCCTCCTATAATTTGCATCATATCTCAAGGAAATATAAACCGCTTGGCACAAAACATCTAATCTATGATTAATTATTTTTCGAGTGACATGATTGAAACATCAGTCATGGTGAAATAACATAAACACCAAAATATCTCTGAAGTTCGAGTGGCATGCATCATTGTGACCAAGCAGAGATCATCAGAGTCTCATAGCAGTAATAATTTGTCCTGACCAATAAAGCGAAATTTTTACATATAATGTTCTTCTAAATCAAAGCTTAGCAAGTTTCATTACTGTATCTGTTTCTACTGAATCAACATCAAACCAAAGAAAATCATATGCATTTATTCTAAAAGTAAAATAAAAATTGAAAAAAAAAAGAAAAATGACTACAGTACATCCTGATGCTAATGGCTAGACTGACTACTTGCACGCAGATCTCATTGCTTTTAGCTCTTCAACCAGTTTCTCAAGCCTGCTAATCCGAGCTTCAAGTGTTAATCCAGGTATCTCAACCGCATAGCAACTGCACTCTCCTTCAACACCATTGATGCTTAGCATTTTGTGAACTGGATGTTCTGGGTTGGCCACGTTTGCACATTTCACAGTTTTTTCTGGTTCTCCCATCACAACTTTCTCCTGCACCATCTGTAATTCTCTCTGATCCTTGTAAGCACCCTCAAAAGTTTCCCCTGCTCCTCTCAGCACAGATTCATCCTGCATAACCTTTTCTGCCAAAATTGCTAATGGCTCCAAAGATTTAACAACCTCATCATCTGCAATTGTTGATGAAAGACTTTGAGAATGGCCTGATGGGTTTCCATCCTCATCACAATCTTTAGTTCCAATATTGCCACGCTTCTTGCAAGATCTCATCATTTCTGCAATTGTTGGGTTATTATCCTCAGGAGAGTCCTCTGCTTCCTTCCCATCAAAGTTGGGTGTAAAACCAATAGGAACACCGGAATTGCTTCCCTTCTTTCTTTTCAAAGTCCGCGGTGGTTTTTTTGTATTCACTGAAGGTAAAGCCTCAGAGGCAGAATTGCTGCTACCTTCCTCCTTGTCTTTCATAACCTGTGCTGATTTTTTAGAGCTTCTAAGCAAGAATCTAGAAGAGGCAGGCACATAAGCATCTTCCCTCATTCCTTCAGAATTCTCTGCTGATTTTTTTAAACGTTTTTTACTGAAACCAAGAGAAGCGGACTCCTTGTCATCTTTTTCCTTCCTTTTCAAAGTCGGTGCTGATTCTTTTGAGCTTCCTAAAGGAAAACTGGGAGTAGAAGATTCTTCCTTGCCCTTCTTGTTTCCTTTCAGATTCTCTGCTGGTTTCTTTGAGTTCCTTCTACAAGAACCAGAAGAAGTAGCATCATTGTTGTCTACCTGCTTTTCTTCCAAAATCTGGGATACACTCTTTGATTTCTTAAGAGGAAAACAAGAATGGGAACCACTACCATTATTATTCCTTTTGACACTATCTCCTTGTTTCTTTGAGCTCTTCATAGAGCAATTAGGGGAAACAGATGGGTCACTAGCTTCTGTCTTCCCATGGAAACTCTCTATTTTCTGATGAAAGCCAGGGCAACCAGAGGCACTTTTTCCATGTTTCTTTCCTTTCGCATTCTTTGCTGATTTCTTCAAGCCCTTAGCTTTGACCTTACTCTCCAACACTGACTGCTTCCACCAATTCAAGTATTGGGTGGTAACACCAGCTTTATAGAGCCGAGATGGAATGTATAATTTCACACCACTGAGTGATTCACAGTAATTGAGCCAGGCAATTTCAGGAGTCTCATCTGATCGAGGAACACTATCTGGAATATCTTGGTCTATTCCAAATTGCATTGCAACTCGATGCGGAAGGTACTGTTCTACACAGTCAAGTCCCACGAGCTCACTCGCCTTCAAGCATCGAGCAAAGGACTCTAATTCTTTGTCGAGACGTGCAGTGATCGATATACAAACTTCATTCTCTCTATAAAACTTAGGTTGTTTCCAGTTATCAATCTGCATGGCATAAGGACGCCATTCAAAACTTCCACTAGCTGACTCTAGAGCTAACCTCACGTTCTCAACCTTGCAACTAACATCATGCCATTGAACCAACCTTGGCTCACCCTTTGCTATTGAATTTGGCTTTGGTCTTAGCTCTGCGAATCTTTCCCAAGCCCAGACCTGAACTAGTTGAAATGGTGACCAAAGGGTAAGCGTAAACACCTCTTCTTTCCCCAATTTAGTTGAAGCAGTAATTGCATCTTTTAACAAACACAAATCTCTATAGATACTAGCAAGTACGGCAGGTGCTAACGCAAGTCTTGTCCCTCTAGCTAAATGAATGGCAATAGAGAAAACATGTTCCCTAATTGTTTCATGTGCATTGGTAAAAACATACCTTGAAAGCCAAAAGGCAAGAAACGCTTCATGCTCAAATTCACTGCCAGTGTCCATGAATTTCTGCATCCATAAACGAGGGCAAGCCTTTTTAGCTTTGCTTCTCACAATTTCAATTCTTGCACTTTTTAAACTCTCCTCTACTTCCTTCAATTCTTCAGTTTCGAGTGGGGTTAAAACAGGGGAACCCAGAACAGAGAAACCCCCTAGAATCATGATATCTTCAAGTGTAACACTTACTTCACCCCAAGAAAAGATGAAACTTTTGGTCTCACAGCACCATTTCTCAGCTAAACCAAAAATCAAATCATTGTTTCTCTTGATTTGATAAGTTGAATTCATGATGGCTTCAAAGATACCCGCTTTCTTCCAAGTTGATTCATGTAAAGCAGCCATCTTTTCAATCCATGTGGACCAATTCTTTGCCCTGCATCTCCACCCGTGAAAACTGATACTCAAAGGCAGATTTTTGGATTCAAGAGAGGACTCTTCCAGAGAGGAAAGACATTGTGAAGGAAGCTTGGGAAGTGGGTTTTCGAGGGAACTGAAAATGGGTTTGAGAAAATGGGCTGTTCTTGAACAAGGGTTTTGGTTTTGGCCTGTTGGTGAAACCATGAGCTCTTCTCTTACGTCAACCATGGTTCTCTCCGGCTCCTCCATGGCTGAATTTGAATCGCGAATTCGGGGTGAAAATCAATATTTTGGGTGTCGGATTGATGGATTTGGGTTAGAGGGTCACGAGATCATCTCGTCTCAAAGACTCCAACTTCGGTTTCCAGGGGAAGCTTTCGAAAAGGCCTAAGTTTTGAGATTTTTGAGCTGGAAGGGTGTTTTGGACAAATGACGCTCGCAATTTCATGGGCAATTCAGTCAGAGCATAGCAATGACCGAAGAAAAGAAAACCCCGTCGTTTACGTAATTAACGTTTCCACGGGATTTCCCTTGCTTTCTCATTGCAGTCTCAAAATTTCCCCTTCAATTGTTCAGCGACACCCCTTTTCGGTTTTCTTATATGCTAACATTTCAGAATTCGTCTGGAATGACCAAAGCACCCCTCATATTTATAGAAAAGGATATTTCTCTCTTCCTCTTCGATTTTCGATTTCCTCTCCTCCCAATCTCGGACGCTCTCGCAAGAACCAGAAGAGGAAGACCACAGCAGTCCCCTGTAGCAATGCCCCACGTACTCCTCCACCACCACCTCCCGATCACAACCGTCCATCTCAAACCATGTTCTTTCCCCACCCCAAAACCAACGGCCCATATTCACCTACGCACCAACCCCACAACAGGCGCAACCATAAAGTGCATGGCCAATCCAAGGAGAGTTAAAATGGTAGCGAAACAGATAAGGAGGGAGCTTTCCGACATGCTCTTAACAGACAAAGTGTTGCAATACGCTATCTTGCCTGAAGCCGCCTTGGGAGCCGACCGTTACCTCTCTTCTCTTACTACCATAAGCGATGTTGAAGTTTCAACTGATTTACAGGTACCCATATGTACATATATATATAAATACTTACATTTACAGTGAACTCTGCTACTTCTGTTTTCTGGGTTCTTCTTGTAGCAGCTTGTGATTTGACAAGTGTGATGGAAATGTGAGCTAATGAAGTAGAAAAGTTTTGTTTTATTTTATGGTTAAGTGTGAGGTTCTGAAAATTAATCCTTTTTGTTGCTAAATATGAGGAGGGGAAGAAGTTGAACTATGTAGTGTAATTTTTGTTCAGGTGAATGATATGTCTCTTTAATTTTCTGAATTTGTGTATGGTTGGCATTAGGGGACTTGGGGTTGAAAGGAAAAGTAATAAAAACTTTGGGTCATAAGTGACTACGCTTTGCTTGAATTTTGTACGGCCGATTGTCTTTGGCATGATGGAAAGTGGGAACACATAGGGCGTGCAAGGAAATTATTATGTCCAAACTGATGACCAGGAAGTCTCCATTTCCAAGGGCACCTAATTTATATTATAACATTGCAGTGTTCTGATGTTTGATTTATTTTTTTTTTAAAAAGTATGTAACCAAGTAGTTCACACTTTTTTGTCCATGATAGTAGGTTGTTAAAGTATATGTGTCTGTTTTTGGTGATGAGAGAGGGAAGGAGATTGCACTTGCCGGGTTGAAGTCAAAAGCTAAATACGTTAGAAGTGAGCTGGGGAAGCGTATGAAGTTGCGGCTTACTCCTGAGATACGCTTTATTGAAGATGAATCTCAGGAGAGAGGAAGCAGGGTAAGTACTTGAAATCTATGTTTTTAGTGATGGTAATTCTCCTTGTTTGTTCCAGTAAAGTGTGGATAATTGCATCAGCATATTTACATCGTCAGCTGATTCTGATTCACTCTCCTGTTTCAGGTGATTGCAATATTAGATAAAATAAAGGCTGAGAAAAAGATTGCAACAGATGAAGATGAAGAAGAATTTGAATCATCTGATTCACCTCAAGATGACAGAGATTGCGAGGGTGATGACCCTGATGAAGGAGATATTATTTACGTAAAGTAATTGCCTTCTCAGTTACTCAGCATTTCCTGAGGGCAGAATGAAGTTGTTGTTGTAACAATTTTACAGGTTTGTTTCTCCTTGTGGATTTAGTTTTGCGCAATGGTGCTTGAGGCTAATTTCTTGCTTGAACGCAAGCTCTCTTGATTTTTAATAACTAAGTGAGAGGGTATATAATTTGAAAAAAAAAATTATGACTGGAAGGTCCATAACAATTCACCTCATTTTGGTTAAAACTGGTAGGTCATAATAGGATTTTGATAACCTCATCCTTGTTGCGTGGAAACTCAGAAACTTTATAGTGCTTATACTTGAGAAATGGTGGGTCATAATAGGATTTTGAAAACCTCATTCCATTGATATGGAGATTGATAGTTTTAGGTCTACAACATATTTGGTTTCTGAGGTTTCTTGATGGTTTAGGAAAGACATCAATAAGTTGATTAGACTCATCTCTAAACAGCCGCATGTACAATGAGATTGTTTGATACTTTCCATTCAACAGCATATAGCTAGGACATCTATTTCCATTTTGCATGAATACTTTACCGTTAGTTTATGAAAGAGTACTTATTGAAGCATTCGTTAATGTGTTGACAGCAACAAGTCTTCTCATTTGATGCCGCTGCCATTATCTGAAGCATCTTTCCATCCATGTCATTCTACATGAATCTATCCAAAATTTTGCCTTGCTTTCACTTTTTCGTTCTTGTGTGATATATACATAATGTAATGATCAATTTGTTAACTCTAAATGCTAGTCTAGGTTGGAGGATTCCAGATGTTAAGACATTCAACCACGATCATTGTCCACCAAGTAATCATGTAAATAATTTTCTGCCTCAGGATCATTGCCTAACTCTTTAATCAGGAGCAGGGTATTAGCATAAGTTATGGTTGCATCAACCTATAGAGTACAGATTTTACTTGAAACACTTTCTAGTGCAGATGCCCAACGTGAGAAATCGGGTCGCAGGTCCAGTATGCAAGAGTTGTGGTTTGTTTGAGTTTAATATCGCCCCAGCTGTCTTAAACCTGGCATGGAAAGGTACACTTGATTGTGTACTGTACTCTGTAAAACCTCCCATCAATATTTGAAACCTGATTTCATACAAGGTTATAAAAGAGCCTATCAGTTCTTTGAAACCAGCTTTACACGGCACAAGAATGGTGGGAGAAACGTAGCATTTAACATTTAAGCCAATGGTGTAATAGGAACTTGTGGGTGCAAAGTGCAAACCTTATTGAAACGATTAGACTATTTTAGCAAAGATGCTGTTTCAATGCCTGCTAACAATATAAGTTGAGAGCAGCATTTAGTTCATTCCCTAAACAAAAACCAGTGTAGCACCATAGAACATTTGCCTATCTCACAAAATAATAAATGCTTTATACCCCAGAAAGAACAAAGAAAAATACAGATAACAGTTGATTAACGTAAAAGAAAAGTTGAAACCTTGAATACTTTGGTTGCCACGATTCAGGAAAGAACTAATGGTGCACAAGATTTTAAAAAATGCACCAGATTTTGGGAGCCAAAAAGTGACAGAATTATTATTTTGAACCAGGGAGCGTATGATCATCCAACAGGTTGGCCATTGCGAATTACAGAACAGAAACTAAACATCCATAGTGTAACCATTGCCAACTGAAAAAATAATACTTGAAGGACCAAGTGGATAACTCTCTAAAAAATTTTAGGGACAGGTAAGTCATGGTCCACAAATGCTGCAGGCCAAAATGAAAAACTGGTACAATTCCATTGATATGCATTATTCCTACACCAAACTCAACTCATGCATGCAACTATGAACAAAACCCCTCTGCTTTAGTGGTGAGCCTTTGCTTCAGCTTTCTTTTGAGACTTTGCCTTTGCCTGATAGCAAAAATAAAAAGCAATATGTAAGCATTTGTTTTCGACAGTTGTCTTCACTCATCTCTAAAACAAAGGCAGAATATCCTTCTCAAAGTATTTCAAAGAAAAACACAGAAAGCCACCATTGATGAAGCATATTACTATCACCTCAGAACAATAGCAGCTCAAATCTAGATCACAACTACAGATTTCAACAATCTCTCATACTCTTAATTGAATGACTGCATAGATATTTAGCACAAGCCAACACCTGTCTACCTATACTTTAAACTGAAATTTCCAAACCACATATGGCATCCCATGCATCTATGAAAATGCATTAGCACGTAAAGCAAGTGGTCTGATCACACTTCCTAGATCAAAACATTAGATGCCAAAATGTCATCATGTAAATTCTTCAAGTTATATTTCCAAAATACTTTATGGGGCATCTGACATCTATGATGTTTTCCGAAATACTCTCACATTATTTATACCAACCAACACATGCTTGTAAATGTGCTGATAGAAGAAACTTCCTCCTTATGTAAGAAAGGTGCATAGCCCAAAAACATATTCAAGATCATATCAACTAAACCATCTGATCCTAATAATCTGATCATAACAATACATGAGACGACCATCCTTATTGAAACCTCAAAAAATAAATACAAATAAAACATATCAAAACGAAAACAACACAACAATGCCTCTTAGCAGCTAACATGACTAGCACCCTTTTCCCTCAATATTTAACATTTTCGATCAAACGTATATCCAATTGCAATAACAGGGCCTGAATTCCAAACACATTCTTAAATTACAATCGAACAAAAAGAAAAGGAAATTGAAAGCAGTAAATCTGAAATAAGAGCAATAACGGAAGTACCTTGAGGTACTTGAGCTTCATGCTTCCATAAACGAGCCCAAAAGAGAAAGCAGATGCACGAGCCACCTATATCACAAACGATAATTACCCAATTAAACCAAAAACAAAAAATTCAGATGATTTTCTTAGGGAAGAAGCAAAATAAGATCCATCTATATTTATTTCTCTTCTTTTCGCAGTGCCGATTAGGGAACCCAGAAAAAAAAAAAAAGAGGGAAAGAAAATTACGAGAGCAAGCGTGCTGGTGCCGGAGTAAGGTCCAGGAGGCGGCGCCATCGCTTTGCCTTTTTTGTTTTGCTGAATTTGGGCGACGGAGGTTCAGAAGAAAGAGTCTGCACTGAGAAAAAAGCCCTTGCCCTAGTAATTTTATTGGGGCTCTGAGTCTGACGACTACAATATTGTGCACTCTCCGGGTTTTAACTGGGTGCGGTTGTGCCTACTTTATTTTTCGTGGAGCTGATCTCGGAAACGACCACGTTTAGCTGGTTCATCTTAGCCCGAAATGGAAAATGGGCCTTTTGAAATAGTTAACCTACATTGTTCATGGGCTAATATTGGTTTGGTGGGCTTGGCCCTCACAACCTTCAACCCAATGTTTTTGGACTAAAAGAAATTCAAAAATACACTCAACCAGTAAACTTCATCCGCCCAATATAGAACTCAATTTATAATTTCCCCTAAGTTCCTTTTTTTTTTTATAATATGGTTTTGAATCTGATGTTTCCTAAGAATATGTACAAAAATGTTACCAAAAAGGAAATGTGTATTCCGGACCGGCTTCTTCAACTGCAATGTGTACTTTATGAATCCGAATCTCAAACTTCAAACTTTTTAATAGAGAATATTAATTACTAAACGAAGCACGTATAGTCTATCTTTAATATAGTAATTAATTATGAACGACAATGTCAATATATATATATATAACAATCTCGTTGAAGTAGTTTAATTTAAGTTCGGACTAATCATTAATAATTATCATTCGTTTTTCTTTTTGTTTAGTATTACATAGATAGAAAAAAGAACAAAAATGAGGGAAAAACAAAGAAATATATATATATATAGAGAGAGAGAGAGAGAGAGAGACATTAGCACTCCCTCTTACAACCTAATTAAGTTAGAATGGAAGGATATGGGTTTAATTTAAGAAAGAGAGATGGTGGGTATATCCACTCGTCCCCAAGTCCGTACATTCTTTAGCCATTAGGTGGCGTTTGGTACATTACAATGCAATGTGATTACAGGTAATGTAATTGCAAGTAATGTGATTGTAAGCAATGTGATTACAGGGAAAATAACATTACAGTGTTTAGTATGTAAGTAAAATAATGATTAAAATGCAGGGAAGATAACATTGCAGTGTTTGGTTTACAAGTACTTTAGTGGGAATGTAATGCTAATTGTCAAAATTACCCTAATTATTAAAATATAATTTTAATATATTTATATTTTTATTATTAATTTGTAATAATATCATTTCTTAAATATATTTTTAATATCATATATTTATTATTATATTATATTAATATTTTATATTTTATTTTTAATATATTTATATTTTATTATTAATTTTTATATAATATCATTTCTTAAATATATTTTTAATATCATAGATTTTATTTTTATTTATTATTCTAATATTTTATATTTTATTTTTAATATATTTATATTTTTATTATTAATTTTTATATAATATCATTTCTTAAATATATTTTTAATGTCATATATTTTATTTTATTATTATTATAATATTTTATATTTTATTTTTAATATATTTATATTTTATTATTAATTTTATATAATATCATTATTTAAATATATTTTTAATGTCATATATTTTATTTTTATTATTATTATAATTTTATATATTTTATTTTCATTTTTAATATATTTTTATATTATATATTTTATTTTAATTTGTTTTATCATTATATATAAATATTAATTTTTATATTTTATTTTATTTTAATTTTTATTCTTATATATATATTTATTTTAATTATAATATTATAAAATATTTTTAATAAGATAATAAAGTTGAAGGGTAAAATTGTCTTTAAGAACATTGCAGAGTGAAATGTAATGTGATTGCATTGGTTTTGGACTGCAATCACATTACATCCATTGACTGCAATGTAATTGCATTGCAATCTTACATTGCAGTGATATGTTACAAAACAAACACTGCAATGTAATTTAATAAGCCACATTACAAGAATATTGCTTACATCCCTGATACCAAACGCCACCTAAGTGTTGGGTCAGCGGGAACTCAAAACTCGCTTTCAAAGACAAAAGAGTCGTTTTGGTTTGATCCTTCTTTGGATGTGGATTGTTTTCTACTATGTCCCTCCCACCCATCATGTTCATAGAACTGCATGGGAGAGAAGGGAAAGGAAAGACAGGGAAATCAATCCACACAATTTACGTACAAACGAAAGGAAATCGGTTGCGGGAATGCCAATTTTGTGTGGTGGGTTGGCTTTCATTCCCTTACACTAAACCCAAATCCCATACTTAGCCAGATTCTTTCCATATTTCCTTTATTGTACAAAGGTTTCCTTGCAAACCATTTCCCCATTAATCATTTTACCAAAACGTCTACGTTTCCAAGCAACGAAATCTCCCCAAAAATGGAAATGCAATAAAAGCTGGAATCTGAATTCAGCTCGGCCTTGCTCAGTAGGGAAAAGAGTCCAAATCTCGTTCGCGTGTTAAGGCTACTTGCTCCAAGCGGTGTGTCCTACACGAAGCACTTTTCCTAGGATAGACCCTTCCTTACTACACGTTAAGGGCGGACCGACTGCCCCCCTGAGCTACTCGGTGCCCCACTCCTTAAATTTGGGTTGACCATAAAATATTAAAAAGTTGAATAAAAATCACATTTAGGAGATAAATAGAGTATCTAGAACTCTTAACATTTAATTTATTGTTTAATGCATAATTTAGTATCTAAAAAGTAAGTTTAGATATTTTTTCTTCAATTTTTAAAAAAATAAAATTCCTAAAGCCTAAAAAGGACAAATTGCAATATATGCTTATATTAGTCTCATAATCATATTCATAAAAGAAAGTCTTAAGTTTTAAATTTTAAACACCCAAACATATAACTCAATAAAAATTCCATGTATCTTTTTCTAATATGTATAAATTCTTTGACAAAAAGAGAATAGGGTTAAAATTTGAATAATATTAATTTTGGAATGAGCAAAACAAAGGAGTATTAAATTCATAGCATTATGATGTTTCATTAATAATTCGTTGTTAACTTTGGAATAAAGTGTTTAAATTTATAGTCACCGAATTATGAAAAGTTAAATTGAGCTTGATTTAATTTTTAATGTTTAATTTTCTTTTTGAAAAAATATCACTAGAATTTGATATTTTAAAAAAAGTAAAATTATTATCTCTTATACATGGAATGTGAAAAATAAAAATTCGATAATACATTTATATGATTTGTTATGAATCTAATATGAGTAAAAATCAGATATTTGTGATTAAAAAGGTATGAGATTTTTCTCCCTAAATGATAGTAGGAAGAGGGGTATGTAAGTTGTAATAGATAAAAGCAAAATTCTCATAAGTAAATAAATCAAAGGAGAATCTCGTGGTGACAGAGCCACCTCAGTCTCGGGTCACAAAATCAAGGGCCCCTTTGATTCTCCTGAAGTCCAAAAACCTAGAAAGAGGGCGTCTACTTTTAAAACTATCTGCCTCCTAAACTCTGTTACTTCTCCCTCTCTTTCCAGGGCAAAGCTCCTAAACGGAACAGAAGCCATCCATGGCAACCACCGCCAATCTCTCTTCTTTGTCCTCTTCATCAACTCTCTCAAAACCCATCTCTAAAAACTCTTCTTTTTCTCTGAACCCGCCTCAAAAGGCCTCCTTTTCACTCTTTCAAAAAACCCTGCCAAAACCTTCTTTCCCTCACAAAACTGTCCTCCATACCCAGAAACCTCAGTTTACCGTCTCCTCTAAAAATCCCATCTCTGACTTCTTCTCAACAAACAAAAGTGACCCAGAAGATGGTTTTGTCTCTTCTTTTAGTGATGATGATGATGATAAGCCACGAGAAGAGTGTGGTGTTGTGGGTATCTTTGGTGACCCTGAAGCCTCACGTCTCTGTTATTTGGCTCTCCACGCGCTTCAGCATCGTGGACAAGAAGGTGCAGGTATTGTAGCAGTGAATAACAATATTCTTCAATCAGTTACTGGGGTTGGTTTAGTATCTGAAGTTTTTAATGAGTCTAAGCTTGATCAATTACCTGGTGAAATGGCTATTGGACATGTTAGATATTCAACTGCTGGTTCTTCTATGCTAAAAAATGTGCAGCCTTTTGTCGCTGGCTACAGGTTTGGGTCTGTTGGGGTTGCGCACAATGGAAACTTAGTAAACTATAGAGCTTTGAGAGCGATGCTTGAAGATGATGGTTCAATTTTTAATACTAGTTCTGATACTGAGGTTGTGCTTCATTTGATTGCTATTTCAAAGGCTAGGCCTTTCTTTTTGAGGATTGTTGATGCTTGTGAGAAGCTTGAAGGGGCTTACTCCATGGTGTTTGCGACTGAGGATAAGCTTGTTGCAGTGCGTGACCCCTTTGGGTTTAGGCCTTTGGTAATGGGGAGGAGGAGTAATGGTGCTGTGGTGTTTGCCTCTGAGACTTGTGCCCTTGATTTGATTGAGGCAACATATGAGAGAGAGGTGTATCCTGGTGAAGTTTTGGTGGTGGATAAAAAGGATGGGGTTCAATCACTGTGCTTGATGTCCCACCCTGAACCAAAACAATGTATTTTTGAGCATATCTATTTTGCTCTGCCTAATTCTGTTGTTTTTGGAAAGTCTGTTTATGAGTCACGACATATTTTTGGGGAAATACTTGCTACTGAGGCTCCTGTTGACTGCGATGTTGTGATTGCAGTGCCAGATTCGGGGGTGGTGGCTGCACTTGGTTATGCAGCCAAAGCAGGGGTGGCATTTCAGCAAGGGCTGATCAGGTCTCACTATGTTGGGAGAACTTTTATTGAGCCTTCCCAGAAGATTAGGGACTTTGGTGTGAAGCTTAAGCTTTCACCGGTTCGTGGTGTATTGGAAGGAAAGAGGGTTGTGGTCGTGGATGACTCAATTGTGAGAGGAACCACATCTTCAAAAATTGTTAGGTTGATTAAGGAGGCAGGGGCCAAGGAGGTTCACATGAGGATTGCAAGCCCACCAATTATTGGGTCTTGTTATTATGGAGTGGACACACCCAGCTCTGAGGAGTTGATATCTAATAGGATGAGCGTGGAGGAGATTAGAGAGTTTATTGGATGTGATTCACTTGCTTTTCTGCCATTTGATAGCCTGAAAAAGATGTTGGGTAGTGATTCTCCAAATTTTTGCTATGCCTGCTTTTCAGGGAAGTACCCTGTTATGCCAAGGGAGGTTAAAGTGAAGCGGGTTGGTGATTTCTTGGATGATGGGTTGAATGGACCTATTGATTCCATTGATGGAGGTTGGGTCAAAGGTCCACGAAATTTTAACATTGAGAAAGAAATTGATCCCCTGTATCAACAGAGCAAGATTTAGCTGTTTCAAGCATCTGTGTGGTGAGTGATCTATATCTTGGGTGATCTGAACACAGTCTTTATTTGCTTCCTTGAACGAGCTAGGGTTCTACAATCTAAAGATTATACAATTTTGTCCCATGGTTTCTTCTGCAAACTAATCTCATTCATAGATGGGTTTATTTTCTTTGCTGATAGACAATGGGCAATTAGATGAACTTTTGATCGTTGTCCTTTATACAGGGATTTTGTTATATCGGAGCTATTGTATTGACAGTTTCTTTCTTTTTTTTTCTCTGGCAAAAATTCTAGCAGCCCGCTTCTTTCTTGGAATATATTCTGGGATTATTATACTATGCATTGGCAGTTGAGTTTAAAAGTCTACAAGTTGATTCCAAAATTTCTATTTAACTATGAATAAGGTGGACACCCATTGAATTATTAAGTTATCATATGAAGCTAAATGGACACATGACAATAAATGAACCCTTGTGGGCTTTTTGAACTCCACTGCCTATGTGCAAGATAATAATTCATATTCTCTGGCATAGTTGAAGGTTGGAAAGAAGTCTTTCGAAAGCTGTATTGTTGTCTAGAGAGACTAATGAAAATTCTTAAACAACTGAAATTTTCTTTTTATTGTACCTTGAGCTGTGAGCTTCTGTTGTTAATGAGAGTCAAGTATGTTTAAAGATGGAATGGAGAATTTTGTCGATTGTGGCATTCTATAGATGTTGGTAAATTCTTCACTTTCCTTTAACGCATCTATTTATTGGGTTCTGTTTGTGGAAGTTCTTAGCAGGTACTCAAATTTATGCTTTCTGGATCCTTGAGATGTGCATTAATATTTCCAGTTTTATTGCTTCATGCATCATGCTAACTGGTTTGAAATTCAAATAACCTTTTTTCTATGGTATACCGCCCTGTGTGAATGGTTAATTCTTGGCATTATCAAACGCAAGACGTCATGAATTTATGTGTTTGTCAGCTGTGCCAACTGTAAGAATCTGAGGTTAGGTTAGGTGTTTTATGTGAAAAGGTTGGCTTCTGTGTTTAGATAACTAACTGGAACTGATTTGCTGCATGCATAACCTGGGTTTATACATCCTAAGCTGATCTATTGCTTTCTTAAATGGAAAGGCAGGATAGATTTGTGATATCTTATCTGATTTCCTTTTGCAGATTTGTAAATAATGGTTGTATCAAATATGCTAATTTGTTCTCCAAAATATTGAACCATATGCAGTGTGCTTGTTTGAATCTAGGAGAATAAATAAATAACCGGTGTGCTTTTTTCTGAAATTATACTGGCTGAGCTTTTAGTTACAGTTTTCAGTTGTTCGTTGTGGTTTGGCCTGTAGAGTAAGTGGATAGCTATTAATAGAAATGTTTCTGTTTGCTTAAGCTTTCTTTAGTCAAGTTCCATTCTATTGAAGTTATGGTAATATCCTTCTGTCGACGATATGGTTTATCCCGGAAGAGGAAGGTATGCAGTAATAAGTGGGATCTCAATGCATATCCCATCCTTACACTTTGCAAGGTTTCCGCTTTATTTAATGATTCAGATGATGTCAAGGTTAGGTGGGGTGGATGATGACTGATGACTATATCTATCCTATCTTTGTAGTATGTTAATATGGTAAGTAGTGATGGAATTTTGCGGCATTTTCAACTATTTTATGTTAATATTGCATGCTGGCAATGGAAATGGTGAGTGTATTGCTAACTTTACAATCTGCCCATACTAAGAGTAGTTCTTTCTGATTTTAGATGAAGAGAATATAATTGGATGGTTAATCATTTTGTTTGTGTAGGTAACCGGCTTTCATTTTTGTGCTGTGAATCTGATCAATTTGCAACGCCGTGGCTTTGGTCTGATGAGTTAGAAGCCCTTGCAAAGGACTTTTGTGTTGAGGCCTTTTAAGGCTTCGTCTGGCTAGCAAATAGAAACCGTGGTAATTGTATGTATGAAATCTGCCTTACATTCTGCTACAACATGCGGACGAACTAATTTGCAGGTGATTGGCATGGTATGTCCGTGGCAAGTTACTCATTTCGTCAGGAGCAATAAATGCTAATGGCCCAGAGAGGTTCATAAACAAATGCGTTGTCAATGAGATGTGGGAATACCCCAATTTGATGTCAACACATTGTACTGAAATAAGGGCTTTTGAACTCTCGTGAGGATAATGTGAAAGCAGATAAAAATTACCTTTGGAAAGAGAAACCGTAATCAGAGCTATCTAGTACTACTGAAAATCTCTAGGGAAACACAAAGACTCAAACACAGCATCAATCACCTTTCCCGGCAGCTCAATCAACTTATTAGGCCGGGGCCCGGGTTGCTCTGCTGACCTTTGAAGCTCGGAAGTTACATCCGATTCAGAGCTTTTTTCTTTGAAAAGAAAGATTAATTTATTGGGAAGAGGAAAACCCTTAAAAAAGTGTTATCCATGGATCGATCACCAGTCTAAGTTATGGCTATTTCCTTAATCCTCAAGAACAGTAATCATGGTCGTATGTGTTGATAGGTGTTGAGGGGTTGGCAATGAAAACGAAACAAGCACCTAGTTAAGGAACTTTATGCTTCATGGTTTATTCCAGTGTGCACCTATTTGTGGGTTAGTAGGGTTTGCAATGAGAAAGCCGCACGGTGCAAGAAGAGTTTAGGAAGTCCAAAAAATTACCCAACTTATCATCTGACTGCTGCAAACTGCAAAGCATCTCTACCTACCCTGGCAGGGCGAATCCAATCTTATCAATAGGAATAATGGCCATGTGTTGCAGTATTACATTACATTTATTGCAGACCGACGCGAAGAATTATGATAAGTATTCTTTCATTAAGCCATCCTAAAGAAGACCACCAAAAAAACCAGAGCCGAGAACCCTCATATCTGTGAAGAAGGTTTCTTGTGAAGCATAAATATCCTTCCAGCCACAAACGGGGACATCATGTATTCGTATCTTTATTCGCATTAACATGTTTCAGAATATTTTACCGCGACAAACTTTGATTCAGAAGCCAAAGTTATCAATCATAGATGTCTGAATGCATAAAGATCACTCAAAACTATATCTCAACTTTATTTTGACCATTCAAATGAAAAATTGTAAGCAATAGTATCTCCTACAATTACATATTTTAATGTTATACAGGTTAAACGGTACAAAATTTGGAGCAAGATGAACACACTTCCTTCAATCATAGAAGCTAGCAGCACATATAAGAAGCCAGTTTAAACTAACAACTTCATCACGCACCTGGAGGCTATGAGATATCACCTGAATAATTTCTTCACTCGCAATAGCTATACTTGCAGCCACGGGAATGGAAAAACACAACATTTGCACCTGAGGACTATTAGATTCATTACTAATACAGTAATTAAATATGGCATAAAATTAGCCATTTTCTGCTCGATCATAAGCATTGGATTTGTGCTTTGGTGCAAATGTGAAGCCATCTGGAACCTTGCCAAGCAGCATTTCAGATATTCGAACCTGCACAACAGCACAAGTGAAGAAGAAATTAGTCAGGATTACATGTAGCACCATTACTGCAAGATGTTATTCAAGGTAACGGGAAGCAGCTTCATACCCAGTCAGCTGCAGAATCAGAGGCCATTAATGTCTCAAGGTCATCACGTCCATAATAGGAGGGAGGACGCCAGTTCAGCCGTTGTGGGATAACATCTAAAAGACCAACAGGTATATACCTACAAGTGTAGCCAAGCCATTCCAACAAGAAATGCCTAGTTGTTTCGACTCCTGCAAATTCAGTCAATTCCAGACAACTTTACACCATAATAGTTATTCAATAAAAATGTATATGTTCATAGCTAGCAGGTATAAATAGAGTACTAATAATGGTTGCAAACTTTTTACACAAAACATATTTCACATCTCTAAGCTTATTAGAAAGATATCATAAAATTTTTACAGGATGCTTTCACAACTTCAATCAGTATGTTGAAACTTGAACAGGTAGTTTGACACTAATTAAACATAAAGTTAATATCAAGCAGCTTAGGCTAAAATAGAAAGAAAAATGCTTGGAGTTATCAACTCAATAACAGCAGAGAGAAAGAACAATGTTTCCCATAGCAAAATACCAGCACAATGTTGTCATAGATTCATGACAAAGCTAATCGAAGGAATTTAAACTAAATTATATAAACCTCGTTCTGCATATTGTATGCCTGGTAAAGTAATACTGCATACCTTTTCGGTCAGATCCCCAATGTTCGAGGCCAAAACGCACATAATCCTTCAGAATATTCAACCTCTCCCCCGAGCTGATATCCCAGTGCCTCTGTTCCTTGATTTCAGTAAATAACCAAGGCTGCAATGCACATTAGCTGTTATAACAGGCTAAAATTCTCTAAAGCACAATTCAGAAGCACGATAAATAATTTAATGTTGTCAGATATCATGTCAAGGAGATTCAACAAGTTAAGATCTAAATACAGCACCTTAATTAGTGCCCCTCGAGCAATCATACATGTTGAGAGCTCAGGGCAGTTAGATCTGTGATTTTTCCAGTCTAAATATGAGAAAATATCCCCATTACCCAAAACTTGCAGCATACTAGGGGCCTTCCGGACACACTGGTATATATAATCCCAATCAGCAAGTTTACTGTAGCGTTGCTGACGTGATCGGCCATGTATAGTTACTGCAGTAGCACCCCAAATGCCAATATCTGCAATTAATGAATCGACGCGGTTTTTACCTTCAAAATAACCTGTCCGCACCTGGTGTAACAAAAACTATAATTACATATCTTGAAAATGCCTGATGATTGTAACACATGCATGTAAAGAAGAGGGAAAGAGGAGCAAGCTTGATAAGAGAAGGTTGACAAAAAGATGAGATAAACAACAAATTAATAACAACTGAGCCCACACGTAAAAGAAATAGGCATGCATTGAAATGAATAAATAATATAGATGTCACCAAGTACCTTAACAGTTATAGGCTTATCTACAGTGCCCGAGGCTGCTTCAATGATGCCTTTCATACGTAATGGTTTTGTCAGGAGAGAAGATCCAGCCCCCTTATTAACAACAATATCAATTGGGCACCCCATATTAATGTCAATGAAGTCCACTGTACACTCCTTATCTATAAGTTCAACAGTACGTGCAACAGTGTCTGGATGTGCTCCACATATCTGGACACCAAACAAATCCTCAGATGAATGTCGCCTCAGCAGAGCCCATTCTGAAGCTTGACCCTGTTGCCACAGAAGAAGTGTCATAGAGAACCTCACATATCAAGCATAGAATACATTTTTATAATAATAATGATAAAAGAGAAAAAAAAGCAGAACGGCCACCAGAAGAACCACCGAAAGAGAAGTTTAACCATTTAACATTAGTTCCCAATCGAAATGTATATTCTAATAATTAAGTCAAGACATAATACTAATTTCTTATTTGGGATTCCTTGCTGAGAAAGAACATTATTCAAATTTATTCCACTGGCTGTACTGAACCTGCAAATCACAGCATATTATTCTAACTATTATTGAAAGAATAAACTATCAGTTTGCCCCTGCTACACAAATCAGTAAGCAGCAGTGGTATGCATACCTGCAAAAGATTGGTGCACATTGCCATTTCACCGCATGTCACATCTGCTCCTAATGTTTTGCAAACCCTACGGAAAGGAAGATTCCCAACAGTGGTTAGAGGAGCAAGATACAGCCTTTCTCTGAAATCAATAAGCTTCTTTTCACGAGGGTGTATCTTGAGGCTCCTATCAGGTTCTGCAAGTACATCATCGGCTGTATGAACAGATTCAGTTTCTGTAGAGTTTTTTTCAACATCCTTCTCCAAAACAGTTGCACCTGTTGAATTACATAATTTAGTCATAGACTTCATGAATGTGTGGAAAATTAAGTATTAGTAAAGAATAAACTCCACAAGAAGACTACCATTCTCCACTTCATCAGAGCAACACTTTTCATCAACTACAGATTTTGCTTTCTTCGAGGGTCTAAGCTCATCAGTTGCACATGCCTCCTCAACATTATCTGCTGGTGAAAATGTTGGAGGGCACTCCAAACAGTCAACTGAATCATTGGCCACCAGTTTGCACTCAGTTTCACCAACAGCATGAGAACCATTTGAAACAACTTTGTCTTCCTCCTTATCTACAAGCTTCTTTATTTTCCAGTTGGGCCCCTGCATTATTGCATTGATGATAACAACAAATCATGATGATGATACAATGTGATGGAAATGCCTGAAGTAAAAATCTCCAAACATACAAAGATGAGGAAATGCCAAATACATTAATTTACCTAGGAAGTTGCCGTTTCGAGGAGTTCATTAGAAATTTTAAGCCAAATATATGCAAAATGCATATAAATACAGATAAAAGCAAATAATGCCTGTTCAATAATAATTGATAATATTGAGAATTGCCAATCAGTTATAAAACTGTTGGTTCACCATACCGTAAGTCCAAGAGATTTGATTACAGCATCTGCTTTGGTAAAGCGCATTTTGTTTTTCCACAAAAGTTTCTGAACATCTTTGCTTAGTCCATTGACCTCAGAGCTTTTCTTCAACACGTTCGCACTAGCAGCCGAAGCACCATCCTTATGCGTGCCCGCAAACCTGCACGCTAAACCATAAGGGCAGGGTGCATCTGCTCTTACAAATGGGCATTCACCCTCCAAATCAGCCGGTTTCTACATTCAACAAAACCAAATCTACTTATTAAATCTCCAAAAAGAAAAAACAATTAGCCGAATTTGAGAAAATTCTAAATTCAGGAAATGGGTATTAAAATACCTCCGCCAAAAAGGCTTGTATGTCATGGCTGAAACGACATTTATCTTTATAAGGACAAGCATTAACATCTCCAGTCTTTGCTATCTCTGGACAAAGATTTAAAGCAGATTTTTGTTCCTGAAGACCCAACAAAAAAATTTTAATGATCACATATTATATATAACTACAAAGAACAAAATATTCTCCTGCCTGGCAAATAAAAATGCAGTTTTGTAGAATAAGAAAATAAATTAGGTTGGAAATTTTGGGACCTGACGACGCTCTCGTTTGAGTTGTCGTTTTGATTTCTTTTCCTTGACTAAGCTAGACTGAGATTGCTTGGCGTTGGCGTTGGAGTCGGCGTCAGAGGCGGCGTCGTTTTGGGTGGTTCTAGAGGGTGGCGGCGGTCGCAGAAACTCTCGCTTTATTGGAGCAATGGCTCTCGCCACCAGTTCTTCCGGTGTTTGTTGAGTAGTTCCGTTTGAGTTCGCTGGCGGCTGTGAAGATGGGACCCCTTCCATCTCCGAATTTGTCAACATACTGATATCTATTGACGACTCGGCCATCGCTGGCCAGTTCACTCGGCAAACGAACTCGATTCGCTGCCTGTCTACTACAGCAAGTGAGCTTTGTTCTCAGTAACGAGGAGTGGCTACTGCTTAGGGTTTATGGTACGTGGGATTTTTGTTCAAGGAGGCAATCGAAACGACGTAGACAAAGTGCCGTTGTTTCAATGCGGTGAGGGATTATCCAAACGACGTCCTTAGCATTGCTCGCAGGAAAAAAAAGGTATTGTCAGAAGTGGGATTTGAACCCACGCCCTCTTTCGAGGACCAGAACTTGAGTCTGGCGCCTTAGACCACTCGGCCATCCTGACGCTTTATCTTGGGACAGTAAACTACAATTCAAATTTCTAGCCTTAATAAACCAGATAGATCCAAGAAGCTCGTGATGATGTGGGCGTTGAGAATATGGCTCTTCCCTTTGATTGGGATGCATGCCATAAATCTTGCCGGGCCTAGAAAAGCCCCCCATAAGCTCCTAGCCGAACAAGCACAAGCAAGTTCCATTCATCAAAACCAGATTCCATTCAATTTTTCGTTTCTATTTGATTTGAGAAGAAAAGAGTTCATGATA